CGCCGTCGCGGGGGAGCCCGGGTGGGAGTGGGGGACGCCCCGTCCCCGCGGGGGTGCAGGTCCCCGAGTGGGGGGACCCCCCCAGCACCCGGCAACACCCGAGGCGCAGCCTTCCCCTCCAAACTTTCCCTCTAAATCCCGCAGAAAAGGGGAAGGGGGGAGCAGGGCCCGGCCGCTGCCGCCCCCACCCCGGGAGGGCTCCCCCCTTCTCCTTGTCCCCCCCCAACCGTGGAGCTGCACCCCAACTCCGCAGCCCCCCCATTTTCCACCCCCGGCTGCTCTCCCGGTTTTCCGAGGAGGAACCGGGCGGCTCCGGGGCTCAGAGCGGGGGCACCTCGGAGCGGGATGGGGATGGGAAGGGATTTAGGGTCCCCCCCCCCGGGTCGAAGCTCTGGCTCAGCTCCCCCCTGGGCCCCAGGCTCCCCTTCAACCCCCGGTGCCGTCTCACAAAGCCAGGTTTAAAATCTTTATCTGCTCGGGAGCCGGGCTGAGGCTGGCAGAGATAGGGATCTGGGCTCCTCGGGATCATAACCGCTCGGATTCTGGGAATGCTGGGGGAGATCCACCGAGATAATGCCCGGCTCCTTCCCTCCCCAGCCCGGGTGAAGCTCCTACCAAGGGCTGTGGTGGAATGGGGTGCAATCCCACAGCACCCCAAGGAAAAGCGGGGTCCCTGCTGAGCATGGAAAGGGCCGGAGCATCCCTGGAGCTTGAGGGAATGGGCACAGATGGCAGCCACGCTCCTTGGGGGGCAAAAGGAGGAGGGGTGCTGCAGGTGGGGGTCCTCCAGCAGCCTATGGATGACAAAACGAGTGGGAAAACGAGCTGGTGGCCCCCAAACTGCAATCCACGGCACCCCAGGGAAAAGCGGGGTCCCTGCCGAGCACGGAGAGGGCTGGAGCACCCCTGGAGCCTGAGGGAACGGGCACAGATGGTGGCCACGCTCCTTTTGGGGCAAAAAGAGAGGGGTGCTGCAGGTGGGGGTCCTCCAGCAGCCCATGGATGACAAAACGAGTGGGAAAACGAGCTGGTGGCCCCCAAACTCGCTCCGAGCCCCGGGATGAGGGTCTCTCCCCACGGAGCCGGGGGACGGGACGCCTAGGGGTGCTGCAGGTGGGGGTCCTCCAGCAGCCTATGGATGACAAAACGAGTGGGAAAACGAGCTGGTGGCCCCCAAACTCGCTCCGAGCCCCGGGATGAGGGTCTCTACCAGCAGAGCTGGGGGACAGGACGCTAAGGATGGGGCAGAGGAAGGGCCGGGCTCCATCCCAGCCTCCGACCACAGCTGGGACTTTTCCCCTCCTTGGATGGACATCGGCCAACGTCAGCGCCGGCCCGACCTTCACACTGGATCTGGTGAAACATTAAAAGCTTTTCTGTGTCCCCCCCCCCAAAAAAACACCATTGGGAAAGCAGAGTTTGGCAACCAGCTGCTGTCGGGGGGGAGGGAGCCAGGGTTCCTCCTGCTGTTGTCTCTCAACGTGTTGTTCCTGCAGGTGTGAAACGAGAAAGTGAACTCAGGGGGATGTGGGATGGGGGTAGGGATGGAGCCCGCGCTCCCTCGGCCAGGCTTTTGCAGCAACCCTAACCCCAAACCTGCTCCGAACTGGAAAAGACCCACCGAGGAAGAATTTTTAACTTGGGGAAGGTCAGAATTGGAAGAGCCCACAGGATTGTCCTCCTGATAGGACCGAATGCTCGACATCTCCGCATCTCTCTTGCACAAGTGAATTGACCTCTTGCACGTTCACTGTTTCACCCATCTAGTCCTCTTTTTTTTTTTAAACTGAGGCACGGGGAGGAGAACTGCTTCTCAAACAGCTTCTGAGCGTGGCCCTTCACCACCCAGCAGCAGGTCTGCAGCTGCCCCCGTCTGCGGAGGGGACCAAGGAGAAGTTGCTCGTTAGGTTTTGAAACCAATGTGGTTGTCCCCAGATGGAAATTCTGCTTTATTACCACAGAGGCAGGGTGCACCTCTGGCTGTGGGGAGGGCAGGAAGGGCTGCCAGCTTCGGTAACCTTTTGAGGTAATGCCATGATTTCAAGAAAAGAGGGTCCTGAAGAGGCCACCAGGCCAACCCTCCACTCCAAAGGGGAATCTTTAATTTTTTCAGTTTAGGAAACTTGATCTGAGGGCAGCCCATCCCAGTGGGAGTCCCTCTGCATTATAGCAAATTGCCCCAAGTCTCAGTGAACACCCCAGTGCCACTCATCCCCCTCCTCAGGGCAGCGCTCCCTCCGGGGTCCGAGGAATATTCCTCACACCCCAGTTCCAAGACTATTATTCCTCAGGCCTCCCTCCAGCCTCCTCCAGACTAAACAAACCCCCTTTCCTTCCATTTGTCCTCCCGGGTCATGTTTTTCCTACACCTCTGCTCCTTCTCACACTGCTCTGCCCTGGCCTCCCTCCAGCTCCTCCTGGCCCTGGACAATGTTCCAGCCGAGGCCGTACCAAGATCTCACAGAATTATTTCCTACATTTGGCAAAAGGCGCTGTTTATGCATTCCACAAGGGTGTTTGCTTTCTTTTGGGGGGGGCTTGTTGTTGCAACAACATGGCTTTTTTTTGACTTGTGTTACGCCTCACCCTAGATGTCCCCTAAATTCCCCTAGTGACCCCTAGATTTCCTTCTGAAAGCCCTTAGGAATTGCACCAGGTTAAGGATGGGGCCTGACAGGACTGAAGTGCCAAACTCCAGCTACACATCCTGCTCCCAGACCAAACTTCAGGCTTTTCTCTGGAATATCCTTTGACCTTGGAGATGGGTGACAAGAAAACGAGCATTTTGCAGACCTGCAAACCTCTTTTCTGGTAACAAAAACCTTCTTTAGAACAAAAAACCTTCTTTAGATATAATCCCCTCGAGTGACACCTGGACAGCAGAGAGAGGAGACCAGCCCTGCCTCACTGGAGCTGCCCCAGCACCCAGCACCAGCCGCCCACGCGGTTGAAAGATGTTTGGAAAATACTCCCAGTGTCCCAGGAGCTGCAGAGCTGAGTCTTCTCTCCGTGTTCTCACCCTGGGAATGAAGAGGGGAGAAGGGCAGCTTCTGAAAGAAGCCAGGCCCCGCTCTCTGGGAGGGAACTCGGAGCAGCTGGCAGCGACAGCCAGAGAGTGATGTTGGATCTGGCTCGGCATCGCCTCCCGAGAGGGAAGGCTGGGAGCAGCGGGGAGCAGGAGGGAGCAGGGGGGAGCAGGGGGGAGCAGCACCGCCGCCTTCCAGCTGTGGGAACCAAAGCAGCAAAAACACATCAGGAAACAGCTCTTGCCTCGGGGTCCCCCGGACAAGGAGGGACAGACCCTATTACCTAACGAAACTACATTGCCACGGGACAGGGACAGAGATGATTTTCCCTGATCTCAGTGTAAAGAAATTCAGCTTTACAGAGGCTCTGATTTGGGCTGTTTCCTGTCATCCCTGGGAACTAGTAAAGCTTTCATCCCAGAAAGCCTTCCCACCGACCGGGGCTGCTATCGGTGCGGCCGCCCAAAAAAGCGGCTCCGATACCTCCAAAGATGTGCTCGGGGAGGATGACACTGTCTTGCTTCCTCACCTTCCTGCTATTGTTCAGAAAAACATCTCTCTCTTCCTCCTACGCAGCAGCAGCTCCTTCCAGGTAGGGGAAGAGCCAGCTCCTCTGCAGCTCCTGCTACTGAAATACCCTCCCAATGTGCTTTTTCCATCTTATCTCTCAACTTTTTATGTTCCTCGAGAAGAAACTCACTCCTTCCCTGTGGGGGAATCTTTTTTTTGTTACTTTTTTTTGTTACTTTTTCCCCCACCTCATAAGTCTTAAATTGGAAGGCAAAACATGTAAGCCAGACCAGGAGAGCAGAAGCCTTTTGAGCCACGCAGAACCCTGCTAATTTAGTAGAACTAATTAGGAGGCCTGTTGATAACAGAGCTGCCGTGCCTTTACTCTGCAAATACTTGTGTTCTCTTTTTGAGTCTAAAGTACACTGAACCCCTAAACACAGAAGAAGCTTCATGTGCCGAATGCTTCCATGATTAACACAGTGATAATGACTTTAAAAAGCGCTTCAAAGTATTGGTTTGAGTCTCGTCGGGCAAACGTGGGATTGAACCTTGGCTTCTCAGTTCCAAGAAAACATCTCAGCAGATCTTTCAGCAGATCACAAGTAGCTTCTGTCACAGACGGGCTTCCCACACGTTATTCCCAAATCTCAGCCGCTCCCAGATTTAGCTTCCCCCTCCCAGGAACGTCAGATCTATGAGGGGCAGAGAACTGCCTTGTGATTTTTAGAGAAAACGACGAGATTCCAGGTTTGCTGGAGGGTGCTGAGCTCACCTGGGCAATCTCGATGGAGGGCACCACCATCTGAGCACTGACCTGACTCTGTTTTAGTTCCAGGGGTGCCCGAGTGACACCGGAGCCAAGATGAACGTGGGGACAGCACACAGCGAGGTGAACCCCAACACCCGTGTCATGAACAGCAGGGGCATCTGGTTGTCCTACGTCCTGGGCATCGGCCTCCTGCACGTCGTGCTCCTCAGCATCCCCTTCTTCAGCGTCCCCGTGGTTTGGACTCTTACCAACATCATCCACAACATGGTAAGGGACCAGCGTGGCTGGTTGGACTTCCTGGGGTACGGAGAGGTGATCTCTTGGCACCAGCTGGGTTTTTTTTTTTTCTGAGAGCAATCTAGGAGGATTCTTGTTGAAACCATTCTTTTTCTCTGCATTTCCAAAGATTCGGGGTTGGTTACTCAACCTCCACCCCTCAGATTGCACCTTTGCCTCTAGGTCATGTATTTAAATCCAGCCTAGGTAGGGATGAGACAGCAAACATCTGGTGAGGCTGCTCAGAGGGGACACTGAATTCATTTGCCTGCAGGGTAAGTCCCTTTGTCACGTCCCCTTAGCAGAGGAAGGGCTGTGCCAGGCCACAGAACCTGGCAGGACAGCTTTTACTTGGGTTGATACCATCTCAATTGGCCTCATCAGAGTTTAAAAAAAAAAAACCAACCACAAAACCAAGATTAAAATGCAAACTTTGTTCTGCTTGAAGTGAAAGATTAGTCCAGGAACAGCTTCTCCCTTTCTAAGGAGCGGGTGCCCAAAGGAGTGGGTGCCAGAGTGCTGTGCTGGGGGGCACAGGGAAGCACCAGATGCACATTTAGGGGGTGCAGGGCACCCCAGTTCCCTGCCAGCTGGGTTTTATTCCTCAGTTCTGTGCCTCTGCCACCCCTGGCACGCTGGCGTCCTGCAGCTGAGGACAGACCACTCACCCTCAGCCATGAGGGACAAAAGACTTCAGAGGGGCAGCAATTGCCTTTGTATCCTTTATTTTAAATAACACCTCAGGCTAAGAATATTCCAGAGACAGAAACGACATCTGTATTGGGGACCTTATGCTAACGTTATTTACATCTCTAGCAGGGTGAAAAGTAAAAATAGAAAAAAACCCACAACTCACAGACCCACCAACTGGAGCTGCTCAGAGCCCAGTTCCCGAGCTGCCTGCTTTTCATGCAGCTCCTTCCCCTCCTCTGGCAGCTTAAACAATTAGGCCCTGGGAACAGAAAGGAGTTTAAAGTCCAGCCGTGACCATGCTTAAACACACATGATGTAGCTGGACACTTACTTTTTATCTGTGACTTGTCTTCCACTTCCAGAGGTTCGCTCCTAATCGGAGCAGTAACAGCCTCGTTGCCTACAGCTCTCCCAGAGCTTCTTTAGAGAGGCTTTAGGGCTGCTCCGGCACGGTAGAGCGCGTCCGTGCTAATCTCCTGATGGCAGAGATCCCCCGTGCTGTAATCTTGCAACCACCTTCTTCTTGGCTCATGCCCAGGAGCCCTACGAGAGGCCTCCTGCCTGACAGGGGAGCCCGAGCTAGCGGCTGGCCTTCCTCCCTGGCTCTCTCTGCCACTTCCAGCGCGTTCCCCGGCAGCCACCGTCATCCCTCTAGCGGAACGGCGCGCTGCTGCAAGCTCCTGCTGAAGCTGGACACGAGGGGCTAGCAGAGAACACTCCCTTGTAGCTCAGGCTGCCTTTCTGTTTGCCACAGAGCATGTACATCTTCCTGCACACCGTCAAAGGAACCCCCTTTGAGACCCCGGACCAGGGGAAGGCTCGGCTGCTGACGCACTGGGAGCAGATGGACTACGGCGTGCAGTTCACCGCGTCCCGCAAGTTCCTCACCATCATGCCCATCGTCCTGTGAGTACTGGGGGCAGCTGAGCTGCCTCAGACACCCATCCACACTTCTGCTGCTCCTGCCATCCTGGGGAAACAAAAAACATGAAGGGTTGTAATTCAGTTCCCCTCCCCCCCTTATCTCTCTTCCCCTCCTTTCCAGGTATTTTCTAACCAGCTTTTACACAAAGTATGACCGGATACACTTCATAATCAACACCATCTCCCTTATGAGCGTCCTGATCCCCAAACTGCCTCAGTTTCACGGAGTCCGGATCTTTGGGATCAACAAGTACTGAAACCCTGTGGCTGGAGAGAACAGAAGAGGAGCAGGGGAGAGGAGGGGGGGGAGGGTTCCTTCTCTCTCTAATCCTGCTTCCTCACCCCCACGCACACTGGGATATAGTTTCACAGCGGCTGTTTCAATGCAGTATCCAATAGACATATACCGCATGCTGGATCCTCATGCCCAATAAGTCTAAACAAGCTCCAGAGTAGAGTTTAGCGCAGAGCAAGGATGCCTGACGCTGGGTTTTCTCTTATTCCAGCGTCATAACTAGATGCAGATACACTGAGACTTCAAGGTACAACAAGGATGAGTTCTGGGGAGATTGTGTCATCTGTCCCAGACGTGGAACGAAGAGGACAGGGATGAGGGGAAAAGCTTTTAGTGCTGGTACTATTGCTGTGGTAAATGCACTTTACGATATATTTCCCTTTCTGAAGCTAGGTGCTTTAAGCGCTACGTGGGGGAAATTCAAAGGGATACAGCCAGACTTTCCCAATACTTGATTGTTTCGGGGTTTGAGTTTCCATTTTCGGGTGGGCGAGTGGGAGGGGGAGGAGAGAATGACAGATTTTTTTATTTTGCAATCTTCTTTTACGCCACTGAGAAAGGAAGTTCTTTTACTAAAAACAGTACAGGAAGGAACAACCTGCAATCTGACAAAGCTCTCAGTTTTCTACGGTACCGTTCGTGTGGTTGAGGAAAAAAAGCTCAATAGATCCTAAATCATACTTCATTATTTTCAGCTTGTACCAGAATCTCCCTGGGGAACTCTGCTTCCCCACCCCAAAACCCCTAATTTTTAAGCATGGTGAGCTCTCAGGAAGTAGAGCTTTGGATTAAGGGCTGGGGCACAGGTCATTTTAATGATGGACAATAAATGCCACTGAGCTCCTTGGCACACAGAGACTGCATGAGCACAGGAGAAGCTGATTAAATGAGAAAATGATAGCTGCTCGCTGTAATCAGGGACTATAATTGGAATTTTTCTCCTCAGTCTCCTAAATCTGTGTATGTGTTACTGGGATTTGCCAGTGGATTTAACTCCGTATTGGACTAGAGGGAAGCAAGAGTTTGATTTCTGGCTCACCTGGAAGTCTGTCACTCAGCTCCAGGCACAAGTGCTGCAGCAGCAGCCCCTGAGGGAGGGAGCTGCAGGAGAGCAATAGTGACCAGCAGAAGGATTATTTAGTATAGGAACAAAATTGAGCCTTTTTCCCCTAAAGTTACCAGCCAGATAAAGCAGGTTCAGATTTCCTGGCTGAAATAGTTTTCTAGTGTTCAAAGCAATCGGTTTTTCTTTTGGGTTGTGTGCCAGATGAAATGGGTTTTTTTTTCCCCTCATGCTTCCCCCGTAGACTCATGAAAGCCTGTATTTTTGTTGTCTTAGTGCTTATATTGTCTCACACTTTTGACAATGGTATAAACATTTTAAATATGCTATTTTTGTTCCTGCATTAGCCAATTCTAGCTTTAGAGGTCATAGAGGATAGAGCTGAGTTCTGTTTGATGGCCTGAGCCTAGGACACGGGTAGGGGAACTTCAGGTTGGCAGATAAGATCTCAGGCTACTCCAGGCATAATTTTAGGCAAAACTGCTTTACTTCTCTCTCTCAGACTTCCTATTGGACCGCTGCAGAGAAGGGAAAAACATTTAGCGTACCTCAGAGGGCTGCTGGAATGCATAGAGAATCATTACCTAATACGTTCTGAAATGTGGAAATATTTGAAGTGGAAAAGGGAGTTTTGAAGAAGGTAGGAAGAGAAGGGAGTCCTGCTTGATACTGTTCTGCAGTGGGGGAGGTTTGACAGATGTGCAATGACTTGATGGGGGGGGTGTTAAACCTTTTAAGCAACATGACATAAGGACTGCTGCTTTAGTTAAGGTACTATAGACCCTAAAGCTAATATACTCTTTAAGCTACTAGACAATGACTTTTGAAAACAGTATTCTTTTTTTTTCCAAAATATGTTAAACCTTTTAAGCAACATGACATAAGGACTGCTGCTTTAGTTAAGGTACTATAGACCCTAAAGCTAATATACTCTTTAAGCTACTAGACAATGACTTTTGGAAAAAAAGAATATTGTTTTCTAAATAAGAGATATTTCATCAATCAGCTAAATACTTTTGAAATGAGTAAGAAATGAAGAGTGGCAGTGCCCAGCCTGGCTCCAGAACGAGCACTGCCCTCGGAGCTCCAGGGCCTGTCCTGAAGAGGAGGCTGAGGCTGTGCCCATAACACAGACTGTATGTTGCTTAACAGATCTGAACCTCTGCCTGCAGACACAGCTGAACGCCCAGGGGAAACCTCCAGAGGAAAGGAAGCTATTTATTTATTTTGGTAGAATACAAGGGCAAAACCTTCAGTTTCTCTGCAACAGGAACAGTCTCTATAAGCTCGAAAACATTACTTCTACATAGACAGACATATACTGATTCTTTCTAAGTATATGCACATTACACAAAGTCAAAGCAGTTGGGATATTTTTAGCTTAAATATAAATTGAAGGAAGGGTCAGCTTTTTCTGGATGAAGTACAGCACTTCACACACTTTCCTTGAAGGCCTTGGCATTACAATAGCTGAGGGTTTGGGCATGTTGTTTGTGCTGTCACCTGAGACTATGGACATCTGCTTCTGTTTTGTTAAATTAAAGATCAACTGTAAAACAGAATGGGATTATAAACTTCTTTAAAAGGCAGTTTTTAAAGCCTGAAGTCTAAAACTTCTCATTAGGCAAAGCCTTAATTATAATAGTAAGCTTTCCTGATTTACCTTGTTCACACAAGTGATTAAAATAGTCATTACAGAGGTATGTGACATGGCAAAGGACATTCTTTATAACACAGGAATAGCATTTTTGCTATGGAATAACTGAAGTGGACTTGGACTCATGCAGTTAATCCAATCAAGGGAAACATAAATGAAAAACTGGAGAGAGAGGAAAAGCTGTGAGAGAGCTGAAGAAAGATTTCATGTTAATAATGTGGTGTGTAATAATTACCTGAACAATTATACAGCTGAAAGTATCTTCCTTAAGATCCCATCTTGAGGGTAGATATCAGAATTAATCAAAAATAGAAAAGAAACCCTAAGTTAATTGCAATTAAACTGCAGTTGCTACTTGTTAGGTTTACCTGGGGTAGTTTTAGGTGGGAGAGTTTGGGTCCTGCTGGTGTAGCCTCCCTTGTGTGCCAGCTGCATCACAGGAGGCAGTGGAACCCGACTGAATTTGGAGGTAACCCATCTCCTCTGCAGTGGGGTGGAAACAACAGACACAGTTCTAGGCCTCCTGGAACTCTGTACTTCTGGTTTATTTGTGTTTGTTAAATTGATACAGAACCCAGTTAGGCACTCAAAGGCTAATCTTGGACACACACAAGTTTGAGTGTGATCAAAACACTAACGCTGTCATGGGATAACTGATTTCTGAGAAAAGGGAGATGGGGAAATTATGGGCAGGATGAGGGATTTTTGGACATGCACTTACAGCTAACGTGATCCAAGGGTGAAGCCTCCCTTTTCCATGGAGAACCAGGACACGCGTGCAAAAACTGTCCGTTCATTCTTTTAGGCTGTAGCGTTTTCTCCAAGTACCTGTGGTGAAGGAGATAATTGATTGTTAACGATTTTAAATGAGATTTTGATCACATCACACTTGACAGATTTTCCTTGCAAACTTGTACTGGCTTCCTGTACAGTGACTAAGGTTTTCTGGAGAATTAAAAGCAGGCTCCATCCTGCCACAGAAACAATTACTGGAGAAGCAGGTACTTAAAATGTTTTTCTTTTTTTTTGTTCTGCAATGAATGGAGAAGGAGAAAATCTTTAGAAAACCACCACTGGAACCATTCACAGGTGCTGGCAGAAGCCATCCCTCTGCCCAGTCTTGTCCTCAAGACCATGCAGGGCAACAGTCACTGTGCCAGGCAAATCACAACACAATGGGGTCCCACCAGCCTGATGCTTCCAAATTAGGGATCCTGCCTTGGGACTCGCTTCACGCAGCTCTAACAGGATACACACAGTCCAACCCTTCGCAGGAAAAAGCCTTTAAAAAGAGAAAAGAAAAAAAAAAAAAGCCTGAGAGTTAGGGCTATTTGTCCCAAGTATTATTTTTTTTTTAATTGTTGTTTAATTTTTTGTTTGTTTTAATAGAAGCATGGTACTGGCCCCTGAAAAGGGGACAGCAGCTGGTTACCATTGTTAACATATTAATATTTCTTCTTGTGACTTATGTTGCTTTATCATTGCCTATAATATCTTTTAAGCATGCAAGTGTTTGTGTATGTGTATCCTCCTTGGATCAGTTCCAGTGAGCTAAGTTAGTTGGGGTTTTTTAATGGAACATTCTGACATTGTACATAGTTTTAGGGGTTTTTTTCCAGTAGCCCTTCTTTTTGCTGTGTATACAGAAGTCTCATGTAGAGAACTTTCTAAAATAAAGTGTGAATATTTTTATTACTCCTTTGTACAGTACTCTAAGAGAAACTAATAAAGTAAGTATTAATGTAAAAGCTTGTGTTTGATTCCTATAAAAGTGCCTCCAGAAACATAGTGTTGTCCTCCACACCTAATTAGTTACCTGTCTCACTGTTTTAGTGTAATCCTCCTAAATCAGAACACGCTGCTTCTCATCCTAACAGATCAGAAGTATAACTGAAAACTAGAATCACACTAAAAAAATAAACAAATCTGACAGGAATGACACATCAGTAGAACAAGTTACCCACAGCCACTGTAATAAATCACCGCAAGTTTTCTCAGGCCAATGACTGAAACTTTCTGGAGAAAGAATTATGCAAACAACAGGCTTTTTGCACCCTAAACTAGCAAATACTTCCGGATCTCAGAACGGAAAGGTGGGGTCTCGCCACGTCTCATTGCTTTACAGAGCTCAGATCCCTTAAGAACCACAGCCGCCTTATCTGGACCTTGCCACGACCATAGAGGAGAAGCCACTGACTCCACAAACAGGCAAGTACATTTTTAAGAGCTTTTGGGAAGGAAGAGGGGCGAAGCAAACTGTTCAGTGTTCTTGTTTTTCTCTCTTTTTGAGATCTCCCAAAGGAATGAGTCCTGTAGGCGCTACCAAAATGACCCCACATTAAGCAGACAAGACCATCTTCCCCAGCTCCAGCTGGAGAACACACCACCCCCTGGGACGCAGAAGTTTTTCCAGGGAGAATCAGACTAAGTCAGGCTCATTTTTCAGATCCCTGCAGGATATGAGGGAGAGGGAATATACCCCTCCATCCTGCAGGATATGAGGCAGAGGGAATATACCCCTCCCATCCGTTCATCTGAACTATAACAGGGATCAGCGCCTCCTCTCTAACAAGACTTGATAAAGTGGGGTGCAGAAGAGGGGAAAGACCCTTACTGAAAAGCTCCTCTGCTTTTCAGTAAGTAGAGGATGTTTTTTTCCTTTGTAGGTTAAAGTCCTCCTTCGAGTCTTAAGTACAGCAACCGAAGCAAGCAGCTAAACCAATTTGTAAAACCCAGCTGCAACGAGAAACCAACAATTATTTTCTTTCTGCCTCTCAAACACCCAGCTCTCCTCCGCAGGGCATACAGGCAGGGCTGTACCCAAGTTGCTTTGCTGGGATCACTTTTTTTTAATATATATTTATTTTTGGGGGGAAATTTGCCATAGAACAAGCTCTCCTACTTCCCTCAATGCAGTAGTGACCTCCCAGCACTTTCACTTCCTTGCAGTCAAACTTTAACAAAACCACTTTTTCTTAATGCCGTATTTCGAAACGACACTCACCCATTCCTGGCTGCCAGGCAACAACATGCCCGGGGAAAACACAGAAGCAGTGAAAACCAGCAAGAAACTGCTCAAGCGTTTTTCTTTACAAACTTACTTCAGGGCAATGCACTAATTAAAAGATTAAAGCATTTAGGACTGTGATAGGTCCTAGGTTAAGGAGCAGTGTCTAGTTTAGTAATGAAAATTATTGTGGTGCATACTGGTATATGCAATAAAATATCTTAATTGAAAGAAGGGTCACAGGGTGACGAGGGTGAAGACCAGCACCCTCATGAACCACAAGCCATGTTCTTGGTCTGCTCAATGACTGGGAGTTCATCAGCAAAGAGGGATGAGTCCTAACATCCTCGTTAGCAAACCTCTGCTCATACTCCTAACTCCTAGTATCCATTTTGAAAATTTCTTAGTGACTAAAAGTAACACTTATTTGGTTAGAACCCTTCTGCCCGTATTTAAAGTCATTTTGCTTAACTCATCTTTGCCTCTTTCTCCTCAGGCACTTCGCTTGGGTTCAAAAAGTCATCCAGCTGCAGCAGAATGTTTAAGAAAGTCCCCCGATCCATAGTCAAGCAAGTGGAATCAGGAGCAGACCTGGTCCCAGTTCCCAACATCTTAGACCATAAGCATTTCAGACCCCTCAGACTAGTGATGAGACCAGAGGAAAAATGGTTCTGTCGATCTCCCCCCTACAAAAGGACATTTTACAGCCTTGAAGACGTGCTGCTGCCTGGAGGAGATGATAAAAGCACAGGTAAAGCCCACATTTCTCAATCTTATGTTCACAATTGCCACAGACTAAACATTTGGACCCTTTGTGGCTGAGCTCTACCACCTCCTGTTCTTTGTTGTGTGCCTAACAAGTTACAATGCTGGCTTTGTGTAATCACGCTTAATTAAACTAACGCATCGAATTATTTCAGAGCCCCTCTTTCTCAAAGGAGGCAGCCAAGGTTCAGCACAATTTACGGTCACAAAAAGGGTCAGTGACAAGGTTGATGGGAATGTAAGCGCTTCTGTTGAACGCGTCGGCGGAGAGGTGAATGCAGGCATCTCCTTGTCCAAAGAGTGGTCCATCAAGCTGGAGAAGAAAGAAATACCAGTAGAAGAACTTGAGGCACTGCCTACAAAAAGGTAAGGCAGACACAAAGGGAGAACACGCACCCCACTCATCCTCCTCTATCCCCCAACACCAGGTCACACGATGGTTTTTCCAACAGCCAAAACCCCAGATAAGACCCCAGAGCGTGCAATTCTCCCTGACTCTGAATACTTCTGGAGGATGGGAATGAGAGGGGGTAAAGATTCCTTAACAGCTTTGTAATGCTTACAGATTTCGTTGTAGTTTGGAAAGCAGGAACACCTCAACACGGAGTCAAGCCACCCTTTCTCACAGTTTGTACCCAGAGGGGAGCACAGAGATCAGGGCACATCACCTGTATGACCTGCCAAGGCCAAGGTCTTGCTGCCCTGGTCCCCCTCAGACACAGAAGGGGAACACCCTGAGGACAGCAAAAATTGCAGCCCATTTTCTGCCATTTTCTCCCCTCAACACGATATTCACACGGGCTCACATAACACATGAAAGGACACAAGTTTTCTGGCTCTGAGTAGACTTCTGTAAGTCATAACTTACAGAAAACCAGCTAGAATTTTGCAACTTTTTTCTCTTTTAGAAAAATAAATATGAATCACCCCCTCATTCAACAACTACAGAAAACAAAATGGCGTTTATACGTGATTTATGAAACAATAGAAGCCTCAGAAGAGACCACATACAAGGAATCTGCAGAGGCGGGGGGGGGCGCGATGGCCCGGTTTTACGCCACGCTCTGTGTCAAGGTTTGATTTCTCTTGATTTCTCTCCAGGAGTCAGTCCTCCCCAAATCTCTGCACACCACCCACACCTATGAATTTATTTTTTTTTTCCATCCAGGGCAGCAAAGACAACAAAGAAAGCATTACTATACCTAAAGGCTGCACCCTGGGATTCCGGGTAATCCCGCTGCGTGTTGAAAATGGATCATGGGGTAAGTAACTTTTAGAAATTACCAATTTCTCCATTCAGGAAACAAAGCAGGAGAGGAAAAGCATTTTCTGAAGTATCAGACAGCCTCATGGCCACCTGTAGCTCATCTGCAAGGACATGAACATACACACTATGAGCACAGAAACCACCTGGGAAAGGGACATGAATAATGTGTAACTTAGAAGAGCCACTTGGGGAAAAAGATGCAGTTTTCTCAGGGATTGGGAAGGAAATGGAAGAGGGATACTGGGTGTCTCGAGCTGTAAGGCTCAGGAAGTGCAGAGCTCCTGTTGAAAAACAGCAGAAGGCAAAGGTTTGTTTTTCTTTTCCTGCTCAGAAGAAAAAAGCCAGGGAGAAAAAAGGGTGGGTGACCCTTCAGTGGGAAGACTGGGGTAAAAGACACTTAGGCTGGATCAGTAGAGAAGGAGGACTGAGATCCACAAAACCTGCTGCAGGATTTTAGAGACTGCATTCGGCTCAGTTCTCCTCCACCTGCACAGAGCTTGTTGGGAAGCAGCTGACATTTTAATTTCCGTGTATTTTAACACACTTCCTGGCCCACCCAGGCCTTAACATAAGGCACAGGGACAGCAGGGAATGAGGTCTAGGAATAACCAGTTTTAAATGAACAGGCAGAAGAAAGAAGCGCTGGAGAGGAGCGCAAACACCAGTCTGACCTACCACTTGCACGTGACCTTTCAGACCTGGGATACCAGTATTTTCAGCCTTTAAAACAACAGTGGGGAAAAAAAAAAAGATACCTATCCAGCTTTAAGTATTTTTCTAAATTGTCAATGCCCTTTTTATCCTATTGCAGATGTTGAGATTTTCTCAATGAGAGCTCAAGAGGAATTCCTGTTCGTCTCTGATGGTAAGCAATGTATTTTACAACTTTGACGCCTTTTTGGGCAAGATGGAATCTCTCAGAATAAACACAAATCTCCAAAGGCAATGTGTTTTCTGTAGAGTACCATCTATTATCCAAGACATGATAACTGTCCAACTCAAAATTGCAAATTGCTTTTGAAAATATTAATAGAATTATTTCAAATTCTAAATTTAGGGGTGCCAGGAAACTTCTTTTGGGATTGCCTAGTTTAGAATTGACATATTTGGACTTTTTTTGGTTTTCAGGTTTCTCAAGAGGAGAATTAAGAAGACTGGAGGCAGAAGTTGAAAATAATTGTCAAATTCTCCCCAAGCTCTCTCTTAATGTGTCCATCAAACTTTTAGAAGCCATCAAAGCCGTGATGGGAGACACAAATCTCTTTCGAGAATTGAGCCAGAAAGTAAGTAAAGTTCTTTTTACTGCCAGGATTTATAAATACAGAGACATCCACGATCATACCTCTTGCCCAAGAAGTCAACTCTCCTGTACCACAACTACCAATCCAAAACTCCTTCATTCAGCACAAAGAAAGAAGGTGCTCAGAACAGAGTCAACTGCTGAAATATGCCCCAAATACAGCCTAGTAGATTCACCTGCAGGTATCACACCACTTAAATTTCATATTCCATCTTTAACTGGAGGCAGTATGAACACCAAAGCCTCAATTACAGCCTCATAAATAGCCTAGGGAGGGGAGACAGATCACATCACTGCTCATATGCTTCTGTAGTTAGACTGGAAGGGATTATTAGCAGCCTCTTCTCTCAAATCCTGACTTCTTTTCTTCTTACCCCCCCTAGATGGAGGCAGTGCTTTGTGGAACTGATAATTGTGAGCTGAAAACAGAAAGCCCCAAATTAAAAGACCTGCTGGACATCCTACGGAATTCCTCAAGACAACTTCTCCTTCAGATGGCAGAAGCCATTGCCTACATTCTTGAGGCATTAGATGGTAAGCCCTTCCAGACCTTTTCATAGAGGAATCTGGTAGCGCCAGACTATATTAAGAGCATTTCTACCAACAAGACTAACAGAATATGGAAAACTTACAGAGGGAGAGACCTGCAGAGGATTTACGTAAAATAGTTCTTTAGATTGTGGAAAGGAAAGTGGTTTCCCTGTCGGTAGCAGCTGCTGTTCAGCGACAGTTGGAGAGTGGCAGAGCAGCAGGCTCCCACCGGGTCCAGGAACAGCATGCACCTTAAAAAGAGGGCTTGAGATCAGAATTGAGATTTATTTCACTGAATTTCACTGAATTTTAGAGTTGGAAGGGACCATAGAGATCATCTAGTCCCACTCCCCTGCTGAAGCAGGATTGCCCAGAGCTTGTCAGAGCTTGTTACTCAGGAGCATCCAGGCAGGTCTTGAAAATCTCCAAGGAAGGGGACTCCACACCCTCCCTGGGCAGCCTGTTCCAGGGCTCTGCCACCCTCACTGGGAAGAAGTTTCTCCTCATGTTTGAGTGGAACCTCTTCTGGTCCAACTTGTGCCCGTTGCCCCTTGTCCTCTCACTGGGAACCACTGAAAAGAGTCTGGCTCCCTCCTCCTTCAACCCTCCCTTGAGATACTTGTAGGCATTGATAAGATGTGGGTGAAGACAGCAAGACCATCTCACAGAGCAGTGCAAATTCCAGGGTACTTCTCCCAGGGCTGCCACAAAACGTGGTTCGAACTCCCCTCAACCCCCTTGGTCTCTACACTCAACGTCACCACCCTCTGTACCCAGAGTCACAGCTGTACTCATCCCACAGGGGGGATAAACTAATCATTTAGTTTAAAACATCTGAAGAACTTCTGACCACATTCCCTGCAAGACAGTTGAGAGTCACCCTTCACATCTCCCCAGCTGTCTCTGAAACATCAGTGGGGTTTGGGGTGGTTTTTGGTACAAACCTGTTTTAATTCTGCAGAGCTAACAGAGGATCAGCTGCTGCTACTGCTGACGTCCTTGGAAGAGAAGATTGTGCCCCAACAGCTCAACCTGGTGAGAGAACGTACATCACATTTGGCTTAAAATTAAGGGGGCAGGGGGGCTATTTTACATAAAGCAACATTTAGATGATGATATAGGCAGCAGTATCCCAACCTAAGGTAACATTGGGAAAAGGGGAAGGAATAATTGCTTGAAACTTGGCAGGGATCAAAATATTCACTTCAAGAAAAATCCCCCCAACGACATGAAGACCTATGATTTCTAACAACTGGTCTGTTGATAATAAGCATTAAATTGGACAAAGGTGAATACTGTTTCTCTTGAAATGGTAGCCAGCATTTTCTGGCTTCTTTGGCTCCAGATTTATCAAAAACCAACACGGAAAGACTGCAGTGTGTACATAATGAATTCACAAGAAACTGGGAGCTGAATACATGGGCATGATAATCTTTCAGGGTGTAAAGTCCCAGATATAGATATGGATTAATTCCTACACCTGTAGGATGGTAAACTACCTCAACAAGTCGAAAGATCATTTACTTACTTAACAACTTCTGCAGGTGGCAGCATTAAAATATTGATTTTTGCTTTTTGTTGTTGTTGTTGCGAAGGTTAAGAGCATCTTGGAACACGACATAGAAAATGAGAAGAGTTTCAGCGTGGACGCCAGGTTGCTCTCCTTCTCGCAAGAGAAAGAACAAGAACTGACCCTCGCAATGATTGAGATGAGCGGAGCGACGCTCCGGAAAGACGGATCTGTTGTCTGTAAGGAAGATGCCTTCTTGGCCATAGCAGCCCTGTGCGTGTCTCTGTACGTCCTCAATCTTCTGAGTAAACAGACTGGGCTACGTGTGGCCTCCCATTAAGAATGGCTTAAAGGGAATCACTTGACAAGTCCGTTACTGCAAGACAGCTTCTCTCTCTAAACCTTACCCCCCCAAAGGTGAGGTATTCCTTATTAGTGCTC